AGTTCTTAAAGTGGACATACTGTATATATAGCACGTGGTCACAGAACATAACATGCAGTGCACTGTTAAATACCAGAATGTTTGATGTGTATTTTTGACTTTTTTTTCAATATAAATAAATAAATTTATTAAATCCTTCATGATCAAAAAATAATACCTTATAATTATAGCCGAGTAAAATAACTATAGAAGTTTTCCACTTATCGATATTTCTTTGTGCTTATATATTCAACAGTATAAAATGTTATTATGGTTTTGAAATCTATGATCTGCATGCTGATAATAATCACACTGTAGATATCCTTGTTTATGAAATTCATATTTCCACTCGAAAGAGCATTTTATCTGAACCAGTTCTCCTTTGTAAGAAATCAAGAGTTTCAGTGTTTCAGTTTGAAAGAAAATCATTTTCAAAAATATTCTCAAAAATCGTTATTACTCTGAAACAGTTGAAAATAGTAATGAATTACCTTATATATTTTATGGTTTATATCAGAGTAATATGTAGAATGAATAATGAAAAAAAAAAGTGGTGTTCTATTGGAAATGAGGGAATTCTATTTTCTTTCCGTATTCGTAAGTGCGCTATGCCAGATTCATCCTCGGATTTACCCAAAAATTTTCAGTTTTATTCAACTCAGCATAATATTGAAAATGAATGGGTTACCTGAATGAACGTGAAATCATAAAATTCAGTACTATATCTTTATTGTTTCATTACAATTTTATCGATCTTTGTCTCCTGGTTATACAAAGTGTAATTCAATTGATGGTTAGAAATATAGGATGTAGACATTTTGAGAAAAGTTCATATGAACATAATATATGCCCTGAACCTCTTAACTTTAAAGCAATAGGGTGTTGAAATTTTAAGAAAAAAAAATTCTTATAGTAACTTTGATACTGTTCTAGATATTCTCATAAAATTTGACATGCACCTACTAAGCACTGATGGCCAGTTCGTGTCCGTATGGGATGTAAATACTGGAGATTTTTCTACAAAATAAATGCAATTCTCATTCCTTTTGCAATAATTTGAGTTACATATTTGAAAATGATGAAACCATTTTGGCAAATTCAATCAACGACTTCACTTCAATAAAAATTAGACAAAAACACATCTTACCTACAAACTACACCACATTGTTCCAGTTGGTGCATGTCAAATTTCATGAGAATATCTAGAATAGTATGTCGAAGTTATCATAAGAAAATGCCTATTTTCATAAAAATTCCAACACCCTATAGCTCGGAAGTTGAGAGGTTTAGGGCATATGTTCATATCAACTTTTCTTCTCAAAATGAGCTGAGGAACCATGTCCTATATTTTTAGCCATAAATTGAATTACACCCTGTATAGTTTGAAATTAAATCCCTTCATTCCAAGATTGGATTCTAGTTATAATTAATTATATTATATCGTTCTCAACAAAACTGAATCAAAGTGAAGCAGTCCAGATAAATTCCTATTTTTTTCATTGTAGTTGCCAAAGAAGAACTCTGTCATTGTTATTTTTCACGTTCGAATAATTATTATTATAACACCTCTAGGTATACCGCTGGGCATACCCTCTAATACCTTTACAGCGCGAACCAGGTCATAAAATGCTAATGAGGGAAACGGTTCGTTCCTAGGCAATGAATAGTACATGTGCATAGACAAAAATATTTCAATTCGACCAAGAGTCGTTACTTTTAATTTGAGCATCACTGTACCTATCACATGATCTTCCCATTTGGAATAATAAAACTAAAATTGTTCCTCTCATACGATGATCCACAGGGCTATCAGTCTATTTTTTCATAATTATTTCACTTAGTAGGCGGTGTACCTACACAAAAAGTTTTATGTATTTGACAGTTAATCGATTGCATCAATAATTTTTCTTCTTCATTTGTGTGTTGATTTAAATTGCATATTATCAATAGAGACGGAAAATGTATTCAAGAAACGAAAAAGTCGATATGTTGTTAATACGCAATTTTAATCAACACACAAATGAAGAAGAAAAATCGATTAACTGTCAAACACATAAAACATTTTGTGTAGGTACACCGCCTACTAAGTGAAATAATTAGGAAAATATAGACTGATAGCCCTGTGGATCATCGTATATGAGGAACAATAATTTTAGTTTTATTATTCCAATGGGAAGATCATGTGATAGGTACATGGCGAAAATAAAAGACAGATAGTTTCTGTACGAGTAGCTGAATTTGAAAAAATATGTTCCTATCTTAGATTCCTCAATATCATGAGTTATTTTCAAAGGTTTTCATCTTGACTCAAACAAGCTATTGACAACCTGCAGACATTGATCAGAATATCAAAAGATTTTGAATAATATTGGTTTACCAATGATCTTTAAATTTCAAAGCCTACCAAGTGTCGATATATCATCGAATTCATGTCACAGCCAACTTATTCGTTTTGAATAAAAAGCAATTCAACAGCGAATCAAGAAATAAATGCCACATCGAGATACATGGTTGGATAGAGAATTTCAAGGCGGAAAAGATAGGCTAAAGAATTTACAGGGTGACGCCAAAAAAAAGAGTTGGGGTCACTTTCGGTCAAACAGGTGGTTGAGAAAAATTGTCGTCAAGTTCGTAACCTGCGCTACCATTAATTATATACCCCCTGTGAATTTCAAAATTTTATCTCTTCAAATAAAAAAAACTACAGGCTGCTACATGTCTCCTGTGTCACCCGGTATATATTGGCATATTTACGTGAACTAATTCCGCAAAGTGACTAGGAAAGAGATTATTGGACATAGCAAAGTGACTAGGAAAGAGATTATTGGACATAGCCCTCACGTGTTTCGGGCTTTCGGCCCTCATCAGTAAGTGTATAATGTCATCTCTTTGTGAGGGCTATGTTCAATAATCTCTTTCCTAGTCACTTTACAGTTCCCTCGATATCACTTTCATCTTATTGTTTTCACTCCTGGACACGGATGTCACGCAGGTAGCTATAGCTGCCTCCGTGGTGACGTTAGCTGTTTCCCTGAGACCTCAGGGTCTGCTGACCAAAACTGAAAATGTTCGGCTGGCTTCTGTTTGTTGACTCCGTTTATTTGTTGTTTCGTTTTTTACCAAGTGCTGCCCATTCTTTGCACTTCCTTTCACCGTACTGATGAGGGCCGAAAGAACGAAACACGTGTATGAGGTTTGATCCGAATGAAACATGCTATTTTTTCTGCAACCGAAACAATCAACTCAAATAAATATGTGAAGTTACCACCAATGCCGTGCCATATGATGTATGCAATGCAACAAATATTGACAAATAATCCGTGTAGTGAGAACATTCTACCTGCATCATCAGCAGGTTCATTCAATTTTCAAGGATGTTCGAATTGTAGTTTCAATATAAGTACAATCTCAGAGTGACATATTTGTGTATGGACCAGGGGCTCTAATAGCGCCAGTGCCAGCTATAGGAACAAGACGTGGAAAATGTTGGGTTAATGAGCATATCAACATTCAACAATGATATAATGGCGATTATTTACTCCTCTCTATAATACAATGTTTTTCGCTTAATAATAAAATGAAGCTGAACAATATCGTTGTTTGAGACAAAAAACTATTGCTTGCCGTGATTATATAAAAACAAGTTATCCATCCCGAGAATAACGAATGAAATACAGATCAAGCAAATATTTGAATCTTGAAGGCTTCCCTGATCAAACAAAAATACTTAGCTGAGATGTTCATAATTTCAATACTAAACTATAATGAGGTGTATTTATATCTCCAGCATGGGTATGAAATTCCAAATCTGCTGAAATCGGAAACAAATCAGGTATGCGTCTCAACCCAAATAACCAACCTTCACAATGTTGTTCATTCTTGATGACGTCCAGTACTTCCTTTTTAGTTCCTAGGAGCTAAAGTTCAACTTCAGCTCCTAGGAACTAAAATTCAACTTTAGCTCCTAGGAACTAAATATGTTGCCTAGCAACCTACCTATTTTTGTGTCAGTAATAGAAACGTCAATTTAAGAGCTAATTTTGGTATCAAAATGGACGACTTTTGTGTCGGTTGCAGAAAAAACTCTTTTTTTAAAACTCTTCTCTTGAAGATGCTAACATAGTTAGCGAAACACGTGTCGAGGCGTTAAAAAATCGATTTGGTTAGTGGTAAAACAGTGTAGTATATTTTCTTCATATTCATTCAAAGTGAATGAAGTTTTGTTGAGTTCAACGCAATTTCTTCTGAAATATTGTACTTATACGACTATTTCTACACTATTACGATGTCAATTTTTCCAATTCCGTCAAACCAGAAATGAGTGTGTTGTTTCTTATCGTAATAAATGGAAAAACACTGAAATATTTTTCAGAATATCAATAAATAGCGTGAAAAATTCCAAATGCTTAGGCATCCCAAAAATGGCATTCTTAGTATAAAGCTGCTGCATAATATTTACCTGTCTGGTATGTGATGATGTTCATTCATACGGAAACTCACCTAGAACAAACAAACAAATTGTTAAAAATGAAAACGACATTGTACCTAATATACAATTAAATAATCAATGAACCCACAATTACTGAAACTGAAGAATGAGGGTGTTGATGAATTATTCGTGTAATGCTGAATACTGATTTGAGGTAACTTCGCGATTCAAGTATTTCTAACTGATTCAGATAGGTCTGATGCAAATTACGATATTTTTAGGTTTACTAGACGTCACACATATCTCTGTGTAGTCAATCATGAAATGGGCTAATGCAACTTGCTGAAAAAAATAGATGCCGACTTATTCAAGTGAATAAATTTATATTAAATTTTCAGGTAGGTATACTCCAATTGTTCAAATTACATCACTTAATACAAATCGACAACAATAGTGAAAGTCGTACCGCAGGATGCAATAGATAATTTGTTAATACCCTAACGTTACAGATCACCCATTTCACTAAACTCCTTGATGAAAAAAATCCTCGAAGTCGTATAAAAGCATAAACTGGTAAGCACCAAACAGTATCGATCCATTCGTCCTGGTATTCACTCCAATATGAATACTCACAAAGGACTATGTGTTCTCGCCTTAGTGGCACTGGTTGGTGTCTCCTTGACCCAAGCACGTGAAATTTCCCGAGAGAAACGTGAAATTAGTGACTTGGAGCCGGCAGAATCCGGACACGGACACCACTGGAAAAAGGGCGGCGGTAGCGAACACCATAGCGATCACCACGGCAGCCATGGGGAGAAGGGCGACAAAGGATACAAGGGCCACCATCACCACGAGAAAGGATCCAAAGGCCACCACGACAAAGAGGGCCACAAGAAACACTACGAAGAACACGGCGGCCACAAGAAGAAGCACCACCACGACGACGGCTACCATGCCGAACACCACAAAGGAGAGAAAGGAGAAAAGGGACACAAATACGGCGAGAAAGGTTCCTACAAGAAAGGCCATAGCACCAAGGGAGGGCACGACGTGCACAAGCACGACGAGTACAAAAAGGAGAAGCACTTCTTCGACGAGGACCACGATTCCGGTCATCACGAGAAACACGGAGGATTCCACCACGAAGATGGATACAAGAAGGGCGGTCACAAGAAGGGAGGACACAAGAAAGGAGGACACCACGAAGACCACTACGGAAAGAAAGCATCTCACGAAAAAGGAGGACATCACCACGAGGAAGCGGGTCACAAGAAGGCAGGTGGTCATGATGAACACTATCACCATGACTCCAAATACGGGAAGAAGGGTGGCCATGAAGACCACAAGAAATGGGGCTTCAAGAAGGGGCATTAAGGTCTCCAACGAAATTGTGATTCGTTCAAATCTTTTGAGTTTTAGTTATGTTTCTCGATTGTTATTGTTGCTTTGTTCTGTACGAATAAAAATTTATAAGTAATTAGATTATGAATCGTATATATCACACACAATTCATTAGGCTGCAAAGTGATAAACGAACCAACAGTTTCTGGAGACTAGAATTGAAAACCGAACAATAATAATGACCTCAATGGAGTAACAACTTTGAGAAATTCCCAAATAGTTACTCAATAATTAATTGTAAAATGTGGATTTTCGAAACTAGCTTTGCAGTTTCCAATGCTTTGCGGTTTCCAATTTTCACAGTACCGGCAGTGGACAAACATTTCACAACTATAGATTAGAGATCCATTTTAAAATTTGTGAAACTGGGCATATGTTAGAGATATTCACAAGCTTGTTACTGGAAGAAGAGAGACTGAACTTTGAATGGCAATCATCACTACCTGAAGACACTAATGGGCACGATCACGATGAGAAAATATTCTACAAGAAACACTATGAGGAACATGACAGGTAGGTACGAGAAGAAGCATCACCAGGATGATGGTGACCATGCCGAACACCCCAATGGAGAGAAAGGAGAAAATGGACACAAATACAGCGAGAAGGGTTCCTACAAGAAAGGCTATAGCACCAAGAGAGGTCTTGGCGTGCACAAGAACGACCAGTACAAAAAGGAGAAGCACTTCTTGGACGAGTACCACGATTTTGGTAAGCACTAGCAACATGGATAATTCCACCACGAAGATTGATACAAGAAGGACGGCCATAAGAAGGGAGGACACAAGAAAGGAGGACACCACGAAGACCACTACGGAAAGAAAGCATCTCACGAAAAAGGAGGACATCACCACGAGGAAGCGGGTCACAAGAAGGCAGGTGGTCATGATGAACACTATCACCATGACTCCAAATACGGGAAGAAGGGTGGCCATGAAGACCACAAAAAATGGGGCTTCAAGAAGAGCGGGCATTAAGGTCTCCGACGAAAATGTGATTCGTTCAAATCTTTTGAGTTTTAGTTATGTTTTCTCGATTGTTATTGTTGCTTTAATCTGTACGAATAAAAATTTATAAGTAATTAGATTATGAATCGTATATATCCCAAATGATGCATCATGCTGAAAAGTAATGAACGAACCAACAGTTTCTGAAGACTAGAATCAGAAACCGAACAATAATGATGACCTCAATGAAGTAACAACTTTGAGAAATTCCCAAATAGTTACTCAATAATTTATTGTAAAATGTGGATTTTCGAAACTAGCTTTGCAGTTTCCAATGCTTTGCAGTTTCCAATTTTCACATTACCGGCAGTGGACAAACATTTCACAACTATAGATTAGAGATCCATTTTAAAATTTGTGAAACTGGACATATATTAGAGATATTCACAAGCTTGTTACTGGAAGAAGAGAGACTGAACTTTGAATGGCAATCATCACTACCTGAAGACACTAATGGGCACTATCACGATGAGAAAATATTCCACAAGAAACACTTTGAGGAACATGACAGGTACGAGGATAAGCATCACCAGGATGATGGTGACCATGCCGAACACCCCAATGGAGAGAAAGGAGAAAATGGACACAAATACAGCGAGAAGGTTTCCTACAAGAAAGGCTATAGCACTAAGAGAGGTCTTGGCGTGCACAAGAACGACCAGTACAAAAAGGGGAAGCACTTCTTGGACGAGTACCACGATTTTGGTAAGCACTAGCAACATGGATAATTCCACCACGAAGATGGATACAAGAAGGACGGCCACAAGAAGGGAGGACACAAGAAAGGAGGACACCACGAAGACCACTACGGAAAGAAAGCATCTCACGAAAAAGGAGGACATCACCACGAGGAAGCGGGTCACAAGAAGGCAGGTGGTCATGGTGAACACTATCACCATGACTCCAAATACGGGAAGAAGGGTGGCCATGAAGACCACAAAAAATGGGGCTTCAAGAAGAGCGGGCATTAAGGTCTCCGACGAAAATGTGATTCGTTCAAATCTTTTAAGTTTTAGTTATTTTGTCTCGATTGTTATTGTTGCTTTGTTCTGTACGAATAAAAATGTATAAGTAATTAGATTATGAATTGTATATATTCCAAATAATTCATCATGCTGAAAATTAATGAACGAACCAACAGTTTCTGAAGACTTGAAATGAAAGCCGAAAAAATAATAATGACCTCAATGAAGTAACAGCTTCGAGAGATTCCTAAATAGTTACTTAATAATCCATTGTGAAATGTGAATTTTCGAAACTAGCTTCGACGTTTCCATTTCTCACACTTCCGGCAGTGGACAAACATTTCACAACTATAGATGGAAGATTCATTTTGAAATCTGTGAAACTGGACATATATTTGAGATACTCACAAGCTCGTTACTGGGAGCAGGAAACTTTGAATGGCAATGATCACCACCTGAAGAATTTGAAGGGCATGATGAGAAAATACTCCACAAGGAACACTATGAGCGGCAGATACAAGAAAAAGGGCCACCAGGATGGTTATAATGCCGAGCACCACAAAGGAGAGAAAGGAGAAGAGAGACACAATTACGGCGGGAAGGGTTCCTACAAGAAACGCTATAGCAGCAAGAGAGGCTATAGCAACAAAAGAGGCTATAGCACCAAGAGAGGTCTTGGTGTGCACAAGCACGACGAGAATACCACGATTCCGATGAGCACGAGCAACACTTATTATTCCACAACGAGGTAGGATACAAGAAGAGCGGCCACAAGAAAGCAGGACACAAGAAAGGAGAGCACCACGAAGAACCACATCACCATCGCACCACAAGAAACCGCAGTGACCGCACTACAAGAAAGCTGGTGGGCACGATGAACACTACCATCATAACTCCAAGTATGGAAAGAAGATTGACCACGAAGACCACCCTGATAAGGGCAACATGTGTCTCCTGAGTCTACAGTGGCCGGTTGGAACTCCTACCAGCATAGAGCATTCCCCCTCTCGTACACAGACCAGGATGGCCTTCATTTCCGCTTGGAATACCGAGGTAAGACAGAGTAGGTGACATTATTTTTCAGCTGTAACTGAACGACCACTTTTATGAACTAAAATATATAATCAAAAGTGATCGTATAATCCGACGGCCTTACTTCAGTAAGTAGCTCTTTACGCAAAGTAAGCACATCGCACAATTTCCGTTCATTCCGCCAGTATAGGTATGTCATGATCGCCGTCAACAGCGGATGACATAACTGTCAAGAATCATAATTCAGACTGTTTGTCCAAACTTTTTTGGGTGTACTATATGGCAGTAGGTGAAGTATAGTACGTAATGCATGTTTTGAAGCAATTACGCAATTACTTTTCCATCTCATCTCATCTCACAACACATATTACGTAATATGCTATTATCAGCATATTTCAAAAAGTGGGTCCCACTTCATTTCGTATTCGAGAGAATGACTGTAACAACATTCGTCGTGTATAGGTCGAAGAGGTTCAACTGAATGGCCACCTGGCTCACCGGATTTGGCACCCAATGGTTTTTTCTTTGCAAATAGCAGGCAATTACCAGCTTAACTACACTCAGTTCCAAAAAAAGTTACGCACTTGATATTTGACCTAACTTCTTAAAAAAAATAGTAGGCCGATTTTTCTTTCTCTTTTATTTGTTGGTAAGTAATGCATTCGTCTTTGAAAAAAAAATAAAGAGGTGAAATTTTTTTCAAAGCCTCCTTGATGGTGGTGGAATAACTCGAAACATGATATATTCTTAATTTTTGACTCACCCTGTGTGTTAATTGAGTAATGGCATAGAAAGTGCTCACACCTTATACGAAAGAGGCTTCTTTTGCGAGCATTTTATTTTTTTATTAATTGATTTTTCTCTAAAATTTTCCGAATCACAGCTTTTCGGCTGAATCCTTGCAGATTACCAACTTTCTGAATTTATCGAGAAACAATTTTCTGATGAAATAAACTGATACCAATAATTTTAAAAAACATTTTTATTAAACACAAAATTATAAATTGAGATGACTGTATTGCCTCCTCTAGCAACTCTAAGAACTTCTAATCTACGAGGCATACTGGAAATTAAGTTGCTTATCGTTTCCATTGGTATACGATCCCTTTCTTCCACTAATGCATCAGCCATTTCTGAGAGACTTTCCGGAGACCTCTCGCGAGAACGTACCCTTCTCCCTAATTCATCCCACAAATGTTCTATAGGATTCATATCGGGGCTTCTCGCAGGCCATTGTAATGTAGTAATACCAGTAGCTTCTAAGAAGTTCCGCACTATTGCTGCGGTGTGGTCGGGCATTATCCTGCATCAATATAAAACTATTGCCCACTAACTCTGCATAAGGTAAGACATACTGCTCTAAAATGCCAATGTAAATTTGGGCATTCATCGACTGCCTCACCGGAAAATCATGAAGGGGTGTCTATCCATTCATTTAAATCCCTCCCCACACCATAACGGGCCCACCATTGAAACTTTCGCATTCTGTTATTAAATTTTGATTAAACCGTACACCAGTTCTTCTCCACACTCTTTTTCTTCCATCAACCATGTTAAGGCAAAACCTTGACTCATCCGTAAACAAGACATTCGACCATTCAGGAATATTCCACTGTCCATAATTTTCATCAAAATTTCTTCTAGCAGCACGATGTTCGGGCAACAATTCGGGACCTTTTGCAGGTGTCCTAGCTTTCAAATTAACTTCTTTTAGACGTCTACATACGGTCTGCTTACTTACTGCAACATCACGAATTTGGCGAAGATCTTGCTGAACATTTACCGCAGTATTTGATCGATTCCGTGAAATCCGCTATCTCAAGAAGCGATCATCTCTTGCAGAAGTTCTTCGGGGGCAACCAGAACCGACCCTCCAAGCGGTGCTTCCTGTTTGTTCGTACTTGCGGATTGCTCTACGAGCAGTTGCTTCATGAACTCCCACTGCACGAGCGGCGTAACGTTTACTACGCCCATCGTTTACTAACGCAACTAATCTTGCTACTTGTTTAGGATTTATTTGTGGCATTCTATGTAATTTAAGTCAATAAAACAAGACACTTAATTAATGACACAATGACAAATGGTCAAATATGGAGGCATACAACAAATTAGTTGCTATGGCAACGGCATTCAAGACAAGACAATGTGATCCTACCAGAGTACAACCCAATCAATTTTGAGTACTCTGATCCTTCAATAAATTCAATTTGTGGGATAATCGTAAGGTATCAGCAAAAAAGCTGTAATTCTCAATCATAACATAAGAATGTCCCATTTGAACTCCAATTTCTCGAGAGCGCCTTGTTCAAAGTCAAGAAAATTTGCACTGATCATATCAGAATGTGGTTATATTCGAATCAACTTTACAAGTATATATGACACAGCCCTATATTCCGTATTGAAATTAAAAAGGTGGTTGCTGTGGAGAGTACGGGCACAGTTTGAGGAATGGGTATATTCCTTGAACCAGAGCTTGAACTGTGGTACGGGTTTATAGTTTGTAATACCACTAAACAGTGTTGTACCTCCCCATACATACATCTTTTTTATCTAGGTAGGTAGGTGTTGGAATCAATATGTGTTTCGGCAGTTTTTGACATTATTGAGGGTGGACTGTCTTGACTGTACCAGCCGGTATATAGTTAAAATAGTAATGATTATTATTGCAAGAAATTGAATTTGATGAATTAAAAAACTGCCATGAAATTAAATTTAATAAATTCCAAAACTGCCATCATTAGATAGCCTGTTCCAACAAAAACGATAGCTTTATAAATAAATACGAACAAAAAGCTATTATTAGATAATCGAATCGTTATAAACAATCATAACCTGCGTCATTCGAGCCTTGCTGAATTATTATTCGTCGGCAGACAAGTTGGCTTAATGGATTTCGATAACATACAATCATGTGGTGTTCAAATATTTATTATTATATGTGTCAACTTCTCAGAAAAACAGAAAATTTCAATAAAAAATCTATCAGAAATTTGTTCTGAAAGTCAGAAGTTTTCACCCATAATTTTTTCACTACAATTTGGAGAATAATATAAATTATACAGAGTGAGTCAGTTTTGTAGCACGACTTCAACAGCTTGAAGAGTGTTTTCGTAAACTACTGAATACATTAATTTTCAAATAAGGGAAGATTTGTATTTCGTGCAAGGATACAAATCTTCCCTTATTTGGTATATATTCACGTGCACACAGCCCAGCAACCCTCACACCTCGCCTCACACATTAATTTTCGGCCAAATCATCCACAATTCGATTTTTATTTTTCAACTTCACCACCCTATATCTCGGACACGGATTTCGGATTGAGGTAAGTTACTTTGAATCGGCTCATTTTGACCTCAGGAATGTGTGCTCAGATTGTGTACAGGCTGATGAACCAATGGGACACTTTCAAAGGGAAAGTACTATTCTTGAACCAGATGGAAGAAAACTGATGTCGGTGTCTGAGGGTCGATTCTCATGAAAAACTCAATGGTGGATTCCGCATATCGATATCTGTCTTCGTTTCGGAGTTACAAGGTGTTTTTCGAAAATGGACATTTTCAAAAGGAGGTAGCTAGAGATTTTTTTTTGAAAAAATTATCTGTTCTTTTGAAAATAAATTCAAAGCATTGAGTATGTGATGGAAACAGTTCTCGGGGCACTGAAATCGGTCTTTCTATATCTAGTTCAAAAATATTCGGAAATGTTTTCATGAAAAC